GGTGGGGTCCTGGAGAGAGTACCAAGCCTCAGAGGGGGAATCAGCCTCTGCAGACGCCCAGAGTGGGGCTGGCATGGCTCCTGCCCCTTTCCCCTCAACACAGACTTGAAGGCTACACCTGGCTGCCTTGGGAGTAGGGGTGTGTGTGAAGGGTGACACAGGAAGTGATGAGAGTCAAGAGTCTCTACAGAGGGGTCTCCACTTGAGCGTAGAAATGAAAGCCACCCCAGAGCACACCCCCACCCTAGGAAGGGGACATAGTAGCTGGATAGGCAGCCAGAACCAGAATCCGGGAGGACTGGGCAGGTGGGTTTGGTGGGGGAAGCCAAAAGCAGCAACAGCAGCTTGGCTGGCCCCTCAGCAGGGCCCTCCCACACTCCTGTGGCCACCTGCAAACGTGGTGCCCTGTCATCCCCTGGCCCCAGGTCCCTGCACTTCCCTTGCGCATGGCCCCAGAGCCCCTCCCGCTGGGCAGCAGGCTCCACCAAGCAGAGCTCATCTGGTTGTGGCGCTGGGTGATGCTCAAGGCTAGGGAGGGGCCAGGGCCCCAGAGTGGCCTGAACAGGACACTTCTCTGTCCACTGGATGGAGCTGGACCATGGGCTGCTCCATCCTCCAGAGTAAACACCACAGGCAATGGCCAGAACTCTGCAAGGACACTCACCCAGATCCCGCCTCCCACTGACCCATGGCCTGACCCAGCCTGGTGACCCGAGGAGAAGGAAATCCAAGCCCTGCCCCCTCCTCCCAGGGTGTCTGAGGATGTCAATGGCCCAGCCCCCAAGAGGCCCCCGCACCCTGACACAGGCGCCCACTTGATCTTGCAAAGAGAGTGATGGATGGTTGGCCAGAACCAGACTGAAGCCCAAAACAGCACGTCACCGTGTCAGGCCCTCCAGCCACATACCTAGAGAGGCCCCACCCTGTCCCTCTGGTCCCAGGGGAGGGATCAGACAACCCCCCAGTAAAGGCCCGGTAGTGCCCCTGGGGTCTGGACTGGTGTATTCTGCTCTGAGGGACCCCTGCGGCCAGGGCCCGGCATGGGTGGCAGGGGTCCAGGCCTATGGCAAGGGGCTGGGCAGCAGGCAAGATGCTTTACTTAAGTAATGGAGTTTTGTTTGGCCCTCTGACACCCTTCCTGTTCACTCCTGTTCTCGCTGCCACCCCCACACATACCCAGCTTCCAACTGAGCAGCCTGGAAGGGCCGCAAGAGCAGGTGGGGGTCCCTCCTACCCTCGAAGCCGCCCCAGGTGTGTGTGTGTGACATGCCGGCTGTTGCAAAACTGAAGTTATCACACCAGAGGAACCCATGAGTCATTGCCCTGAAGCAGGGGCTGCACCCCAAACCCTCCCAAACAAAGGCCTTTTGTCCCCAAGCAGCGCCCCCCCCCCCCCGCCCAGCCCCAGGCCAGACCCGCTTGTGCACACCATCAGACTCGCAAGCGAGCAGACTTACTGGTGGCAGCAGCAGGCACAGGCTTGGGCCAGGGGTGTGTTCTCGACACCCAGACATGCTGCCGTGACCCAGCTGCAGGGTCTGGGCCCTGGGACACCCTGGGATGCTGAAGGCCTCAGCTCTTGGGTCAGCTCAGGTGCCCCAGGCTAGAGCCCCAGCACCTGGCTGACCTGGGGTAGTACCCTGAACTCATGGAGAACCAGAGGGTACACCGGCCAAGACCAATCAGTGAGCAAGACCCCAGGTATGCAGCACCCCGCACCCCTTCCCCAGTCCCAGTCAGGAGATCAGTGCTCTGTGTGCAGAAGAGCGACCTCAGGGGAGTTAAGGCTCCCTGCTGCCCCCCCGTGAGCTTCTGCCACAGGATGGTGTACTGGGAGCTTCTCCTTGGGGGTGAGGAACTCAGAGTTCCAGCCACCAGGTCCTGGACACCTGTCCTGTGTTTGCTCCCAAGGATCCTGGCAATTCTTGCTAAACAAAGAAAGTTCTGGTCCCAGGGCAGAGACAGAGGAGACACAGAGACTCAACCCATGCATGTCACACAGAGACACTCAGGGACACTGCAGCCCCACCACTCCAGGTCAGAGACACTGTCACAGCCACCAGGACAACGGGTCGGTAGAGGGAGCCTGGGTACATGCAGATCCAAGAAGAGAAATACACAGGCTTCCAGGCCAAGTCTCAGTCCCTGGCCCAGGTCACAGGAGTCAGGATGTCTGGTGTGCAGGGAGGAACCTGACTGGGGATAGGGAGCCAGCCCCAGAACAGCCCCCATACCAGCCCTAGGCCCACACTGAGGGAGCAAAGTCAGACCCAGAGCTGGGCCCTGGCCACAAAGGGCCAGCCTGCCTGGCCACAGGCTATCATCCACATGTCTTGCAGGTACCCCAGGGCCCAGGCTGGGGAGGGATGGGCTTCTGCAAGCCTCACCCCTGCGCTGTCCCATCCCTTAGCCCCGCAGAGAGTCATGGGAAGAGGGGACAGGCAACATTCCTGCTCACAGCCAGGAGCCCCCACCCTGCCCCTCTAGGTTCGTGCCATGCACCTGGGGTGTGGCCTGGCTCCTAAGCTAGCGGTTGCTCCTGGACCCCCAGGGAGGACTTTCCAGCTGTCCTGACACCCACATTCCTGTCCGCATTCAAACCAGATGGCACGCCAAGGGTCTGGAAGGGCTGGGCTGTGACCCAACATCAAGATGCCCCCCGCCCCAGTTTCCCAAGGCCCCAAGACCAGAGCTGTGGCAGTGCAGGGCCAGAGGATACTGGGGCACACCCCTTCCCAGGAGCCCCCAACCCGCACAGCTGGCCCTGAGCCCTGCCTAGCCAGCCCCAGAGTCAGAGGGAGATTCTGAGATGTGAGCCCTAGAAGAGGTCAGTGAGGTCAGCCCATTGCTTCCTGCTGCTCCCGGGCAGGGCTTGGGTCAAGGGTCACCCCAAGGTCATACGGAGCTGTGGGCCCACTCTGGCTCTGCCACCCCGAAGCCCAGCTATAAAACCAGAGAGGCCAGGCCTGGAGAAGAACCCCATCTCCCAGACTCTCGTACCCCTTGAATCATCTCCACAAATATCCAGGGCCCCGTAGGGGCTCCAGATACCTCCCTAGGCCTCAGGGAGCTTGGGGTGGGGGCCAGAGCAGCCAGCTCCCACTGAAGCAGGCCCCAGAGCCAGCGATGTCTCCATTGGACAGAGGCTGTCTTTGCTTTCACCTACGGGCCTATACCTGGGCTCTGGAAAGCCCTGCCCCGGCCCCTCGCTCACACGGGGCTGGGGGGGTGCAGGGGTTAGTCTGACTTGTGTCCTGGGGGACCGGGTTGAGCCTGGGGCCTGAGCCCTGGACCCCCACCAGCTCACAACCCTGGACACTATACAGTAGCCCCCACGGCCCATCCCAACCCCCCATAATTTCACTCCCACCCCCTCAGCGATAGAAGCTCAGTGGGTCACAGAGCATTCCAGGGGGATTAGGTCTACGTGGTAATGGGGACCTCTGACTAGGGAGGTGAGAACAGGGAGACCAGACAGACCTGGAGGCAGGCGTAGTCGGGCGCCAGGACGAGCCCTGGCCACATGCCCACGGTGGGCTTCCCAGGGCTGGCCTGCTCCATCCTTCTTGTCCCAGCCTCTCATCTGTCATCTCCTGTCACTCTCTGTGGGCCCTGGGCCCCATCCCTGGGTCTGGGTCTCCATCTCTGTCATCACAGCCCCCACAGCAGGTCTGGATCTAGTGAGACCTGCCCCCTCCTGGGCCTGACCAGGTAGGGGACTGGCTGGTGTTGAAGGACTGCAGGGAGCCCTCGGGCACAGCTAAGAATCTGCTGGGTGCTGGCCATCATGTCTCAGCATTCCCGCCCCCCGTACCCTGGGGGAGCCTGTCTTCCGCTCTCTACAGGGTCTCAGGCATGGCCAGTGCCCACAGTCAAGCCCAGCACAGGGCCTCAAGGATGGGAAGGGGGGCCAGTGCCCCCTCCCAAGTTTCTGCCTCCCCTGTGCACACGTCCTCTCCCAACACACAGAAAGGCCCCCGGTGCCCCTGCCCCCCAAGCTGCCAGAATATCCCCATTCAGCATCCCCCCCTCCCCCTGCCCCTGACGCCACCCTGGGGCGACCAGGGAGAGAGGTGAGGACGGGTCATCGACCAAGCCCGTGGTTGCCGCCAGCCCGGCACCAGCGCTCTCCTGCCTCATTACTCAGCAGGCTGCAGGGAGGGTCCCTCCCGGGCAAGTGCTCCCCCCAGCCCCGCTCCCCCAGGGCCTTCAGAGTCCCCAAGGGGCAGGGCTGGCCCTCAGCCTCTAATAGCTTCCTGCCCTGCCTCCCATCTGGAGCATGTAGGCAGGCCCCAGAGCCCAGGCCCTCCCCCTTGCCCAGCCCTGCTCAGCCTTGGAAAGGGGGCTTCAGGCCCTGCTGCTGCAAAACTAGGCCCCACCCCCAGCCCCCAGGCATCTGCCGAGGGCCCAGGTGCCAACCCAAGATGGTATCTCGGCAGCTCTGCAGAGGCCTGGACATCCCAACACCAATTTACATTCTTTGGTCTGGGTTTGCTGGAGCCAAAACAGGGTGGGGGTTGGGGGCTCCAAGTACACACAGAACCTGCAGGCCGGACTCGGTCACCCCGCCTGGGGTCTGCGGCTGCCCGGTGTGGCAGCCACCAAGGTGAAGCAGGGTGCGGTAAGGTGCCCTGCCAGCCTGGGAGCAGACAGCCCCGGGCTCTGCCCCACTCATGAGCACTCAGCTCAGCTGGGGGTGGGCAGGAACACCTTCTGGGTCACACGTGGCACTGGCAGCCTGCACGCCCCCCCCCCAGGACAAGGCCTTCCCAAGGGCTCCCCACCTTGCCCTCTGCACCCCAGATAGGCACAGCATGGGGTGTCTGGCCGCCATCTGACTCACCAACTTTGAGGACTTCCAGTGCCCTAGGATGAGAGACTCTGGGCCCCTGGCCCCACAGGTGTCATAGGCTGCTGCCCTCAAGACTGGACATGAGGCCACTAGTCCTTCCAGGGCCATACCCCCACCCCACCCCTATGATGACACAGTGACTAGGTGACAGGGGGGCTGAGAGCTCTTTATTGCTGTGAGCATAGGTTTAACAGTCAACAGTGGGGACAGGAGGGCCAGTCACACTTCCAGCCCCTGGCATGGCCCTCACGTGCCCAGGAGAAGGCCGGAGAAGCTGGAGCCACTCTGGATGGTGAGGCTTGTCCCGGAGCCATTGTCCACAAAGACGGAGGCATACTGTCCGGCCTGTAGACACCCCACATTGGACATCACCACCCACAGTCCCCACCTGCCCAGGGGGCAGCATCTGGACGAATGAAGCTCGAGCCCCACCAGGCAGCAGCCACCCCCAGGGTCTATCCACTCTGCACTGGGCAGTGCAGGCCTGAGACTCCAGTCCTAGGAGCCCTGCTCAGCAACCCAGCCCACGGCCTCACCTGCAGCTGCAGCAGCCCCTCCACATGCAGGGTGAAGACCCTGGCACGGCTCTCCAGGCCTGAGATGGCCACCAGGGACCTGGAGACAGTGCCCCAGGGTAGGGGTGAGGGTACCGCTGCCTGTGAGGCCAGGACCCCACCAGGTTCACGGGCAGCTCTGTGTTTGGAGTAGCCCCTTCCCTGTCTACGGGTGGGACAGTCCAGCCCTGGGCACCACACCTGCAGTCCCCATAGCATCAAGGATGCCCCCAAGGAAAACAAGACTCACGCATGTCGATGACAGAGGGACTCGATGCAGACGAGCACCCGTACTGTGTCCCGAGCCTGCAGTCTCACCCTGCCCTGCATCTCCCTGTGGTCTATGGAGACAGGCCTAGCCTGCAGCAGCCCCCAAGGAGCACAGAGCAGAGGGGGCAGGGGCCAGGCCCTGGGCACACCACCAAGTACAGGCCCGGGAGCAGCTGAAGGCTGTGAGCAGGTGGGCCCCAAGCAATCCCCCCCAGTGGGAGGTGGGGAGGGGGCAGGAGGCCCCTATGCAAGGGGACCCAGGCCCCCACTCACCCACATGCAGGCTGGCGGAAAACTGGAAGATGGCAGTCATTGGAGCTGTGAACCGGCCGGAGGCTAGGCTCAAGCCAGACCCCCGCAGGAAGGCACCCTGGGCAGCAGGCTGGAGGGATAGCAGGTGAACAGCCGGCTACAGGGCCTGGGCCCTCATCTCGCACATCCACCCTGGGGGAGGCGCCTGTGACCAACAGCCGCCACCCCAAGCAGACCCCAGGTGGGCAGGACAAGGGCAGAGGGTCACGGGCTCCTGGCCCTAAGGGATGGATGAACCCTCCAGAGCCCTCACCAGAGAGGGCATCCTGGCTCCTGAGCACCTTGCACCCCATCTATATTTGTGGCACACAGGACCCGCTAACCCTGACCCAGATGACCTCCCCCAGGTGCCCCCTGTGTGTCTGTGCTGGGTGGCCACCCCAGGCCAACTGTGAACCCTGCCCAGCAGTGGGGAGCCTACTCAGCACCTTGCCCCACTCCCACTTCCCCTGCTGGCAGGTGAGGAGGGCCTCTAGCAGACGCCCCCAGGACACCAGGGCTCACCCCCATGCCCACTCACGGCCTGGAAGCCATGCAGTTCTACCAGCGTCTTCTCCTCCACCACCATGGGGCCCTTCAGTGCACAGTGGAAGGCCTCTGCCACCAGCCGCCGACCTGTCCCCTCGGGCAGCAATGGGCCCAACAGCCCCAAGAACCGGCGCTCGGTAGCCTCTGGTGGGGGAAAGGGTGAGGACAGCATCTTGGGACCAGGGTGGAATCACCCCCAAGGCCTAGGCGGCAAGAGTCTGGGACAGGGGTCTCACCTTTCAGCATCTCCTGAAACTCTCGCAGCAGGGCTTCCTGGGTGACTGCGGCCCCGGGAGGTCCTGGGGGCCCTGGGGGCCCAGGGGGCCCGGGGGGTCCAGAGAGACCTCGCTGGAGGGAGGCAGGAGGAAGTGAGGGCCCCAGTGGGACCACAGCCACCCCTACCCTGGGTGCAGACCCTGGGGCTCACCGACTTCTGGTCCCGGCCCCGGCACCGTTTCTTTGAGGCCACGACATCTGGCCGCCGGACGAAGTTCAGCCATGTCATGTGTGCATCTGAGAACTCAGACCCCAGGGCCTCGGATGGCTGCAGGGACAGGGGACAGGGCTAGTGTGCCGGCTACTGGGCCCCGATGAGCCCTGCCCTACTGCCCTCAGCGGAGAGTGGGAAACCTCAGGGCCCAGGCAGGACTTAGAACACTCACAAGAAACATGGCAACAGGGCACTGCAGGCTACCCCTGGGGACCAAGACCAGGACACACAGGGCAAGGGCTTAGGTCCTTTGTGGAAGCCAGGACCTGCCATCCAAGGACCTTGGGTTGGGTTCTGTATTGGAGCGACCATGTGCCCTCCCACTGCGCCGAGTTCCCGAGCAGACAGGCACACCCATGCACACCGGGGGCAACCCCGCAAGTCCCAACAGGGGCCTGCCCTGGCTGGGGGCGCAGTAAAGAGCAGAAGCAAGTTTCTTGGGAGGCTTCTCAGAGCCTCAGAGACACCCAAGCCGGGGAGAGGAGAGACCCAGGCCCGGCTTTGTGCTGGGCATCAGGTGTGAGAGCTGGCAGCCTTGGCCCTCCTGCCAGCCCTGCTCCTCAGGCTCAGACCCAGGCCGCAGGGAGGGCCCCTGGCTGGGAGCGGCAGAGCAAGCTGCCCAATACCATGTCCCCCTCCACCCTTCAATCACCCTCTCCTCAGCCCAGTTTCTGCCTAGAGCTGGCAGGACAGGCAGGAGCACCTTAAACCCCAAAGTCAAAGGAGAGCCTCACCCTAAGGAAGGGGGCATGGGCTGGGGACAAGCTGCCTGTCTCTGAGGAAGGCTGTAGGCCAGGCTCCCACAGGACACTCACAAAACGGCTGAGACAGCCACCAGCATGGCCGCCCTCAGAGAGCTGTCCCAGCAGGGCGGGCTGAGAGGCCCCGACTCAGGGGTCCAGCCTGGCAGTCAGCCCTCAATCCCTCCCACAGTACGAGCCAGGTTCCTAGGACGGCTGGGGCTTCCCAGTATACCCCCAGACAGGCCTCTATCCCAGGGTGGGGTGTGGGAGGGGCAGGCGGGGGGGTGCCTCCCAACCCTGATCTGGGCCCCACCCAGAGAGGAGAGAGAAGCCAAGAACGTTTGAATATCCCGGCTCCTCACATATCTGATACCTGCCTGACCCCTGCCTGCCATCCACCCCGGCCACGAATGAGGAACACAGGAGCCTTGACAGACAAGTCCATTAGTGGTCTAGGAGCCAAGGGCCACAGGTGCAAGGGCAGGTGGGAGATGAACCCACAGCTAGCAGGAAGAACAGGGCTCCCGGTGTCGGGGCACATGTCCAATGGCAGCCCCCCCCCCCACCCCACGGACACCAGGGGTCCCAGTGTCTGGAGCACATGTCACAGTGCAGTCCCCGGCCCCCCCTTCCCCCCACCGCATGAAACCACTCCTGGAATAGAGATTTGCCTGCTTGTCCCCAGACTAACCGATGCCTGCCCCCAGAAGCTGCTAGTAGCCCACTTGGCTCTGGCTGGTCCAAAGACTCCCTCTCCTCAGCCTGCCCATCTAGAAAATGGGGCCTCAGGCTCCAACGGGCGCGTGGGCTGAGAGCAGCCAGGCTGGCTGCCGCAGAGACGCCCTTAGGAGGTGGGAGGCCAGGATCAAAGGCGCGAGCGCCTAGGGGGTGGGGGACCTGCCTCAGCATCCGCCTCTCCCTTTCCAGGCCTCGGCTCCCAGGTGGGCAGCTGCACGAAGCCACCAGGACTGTGCTGCTGGGGTTGGCTCCAAGACCCACTCTGGAGAGACTTGGCCCAAGAGGGTGGAGGGGAACCCAGGGGCAGACTGAGGCCAGAGACCATCTGGGGTGCTCACTACACAGTGGCAGTCAGGGCAAGGACCTCCAGGAAGCACAGAGTCCAGGCTAACCTCGGCCTCTCAGGCCACTCAAGTTGAGGGGTACCTGGATCCCCAACAAGGGTCTAGAGCTCCCCCCACCCATTCCTGAATTAGCAGCTACACGGAATGGCAGCAGGCTGCTAGAAGCATGTAGGACCTGGAGCTTCAGAGGGTTCAGTGCAGCCCCTCTGGGAAGGCCTCCTTCCCCCTCCCCTTCCCCTAGCTAGGGGTGTGGGGGGCACCCAGTGGCTGCTCCAAGAGCAGCTGCTGCAAATCCTGCCCAAAGCCCCACTCCACCAAGACAGGATGGAGAGACCTGGAGAGCCAGACAGGGCAGAGACTGCATGTAGGGGGACAGCTGAGAACCAGGGGCCCCCTGAAGCCTACAAGTGCATGCACACCCGTACCCACATGCAACCAGCCCGCACGTACCTTGGGGGAGCCCAGCAGCCCCTCGTGGTTGGACGTGGTGGCGGTGGGCTCAGTGTGCTGGCTGGGCTGCCGTGGCCTCTTGGGCTCCCGCCGTGCCCCAACACCCCCAAAGAGCATAAGCTGCAGCCAGAGGAGGGCCACGACAGCGGCTGTGCAAACCCAGTGCATGGCGCCTGGTGGCTCCAGACCTTGGTGGCGGCTCAGCGCTGTGAGGAGGGACACCCAGGTGTGCTCATGGGGGCGGCAGTGCAGCCGGCACTCAAAGCCCACATGCGGGGACACGGGCCCAGGGGCCGCCTGGCTTCCCCCGCTGCATGTGCAGGCAGGGCGAACACCACGATGGGCAGACGACACGGGACACAGCAGGTGAAGACGTCTCCTGCTCCAGAGGGCCAGGGCCGCTGCCGCTGCCTCCCCTCACACGCAGTGCCCTGGCTGCCCGAGCGTGCGCTGCCAGATAAACCCTCCCCTCCTCCCCAAAGCTCCAAGGGGGAGGGCTCATGCTCTGCTGATCTGCCAGCCTGGGGGCGTGGGCCAGCGGCAGGGGGGGGGGCGTGGGGGCGTGGACGGGGTGTCAGGCTGCTTCAGGGGCTGCACCTCCCCCAGACACTCCCTACTTTTGGAAACAGCCCCCACCCTTCCCCAGGAGGATCATCTCACCCTGGAAACTGTTAAGGCAAATTCACTCCAACTAAGCTCCTGGCACCTCACATCCAACCCCTTCAGGGTGGTGGCCCAGGCAGCCCAAGTGTAGTGACAAACTCCCATGGGACCAACAGCTCCAGCTGCCCTTCCTATGTATGACCTACCTCACTCGGGGTCCCCTCCCTCTGACACAGGTCCCCCCGACCCCACCCCCAGGCCCTGGTGATGCCTAGAGGCCAATTCAGACCCAGCTCCTGAGAAAGGCAGGACCCAGGAAGCAGGACAGCTGACCTACTGGTCTCCCAGCCTTACCCTGGCCTAGGTGACCCTGGGCACTGGCTCTCCACTAGGGGCAAGCATGGCTACCCAGGGGAAGGACTGACCCTGTAGAAAGGAATGGTGGGTGGCCTGACCAAAGTTGCTGGAGTCCTCCTCTCCCCTTTTCTTGGGGCACAAAAGCAACGCTGGGGAGTGCCCTCACCCAGCCAGGCCTCTTGGCTTCCTGCTATCCTGAGCTAGCAGGGGAAAGGGAGAGGAGTCCCCAGGCCTTGGCAATCTGGAGCTCAGCACAAGGGTGAGCCCTGCCTGGGTAGCTGTGTCCAGCCCGAGGAGAAGGAGCACAAGATTCCCCCAGCTGGACCTGAGAAACAGTGGGCGGGTCCCAGGAAGAGTTAGGGCCTTCCTTAACCACCTTCACACTGCAGGCAACAGGATGGCCGGGGCCAGCTCAAGCCAACAAAGCCTGCCAGACTCATTGGCCACATGGCAGGGGCCCAAGAGGGCCCACAGCTGCCCCTCGGCAGATGAGACTTGGAATGGCCAAGGCTAGCCCCCGTGGGAGCCACTGCTCGCAGTCTAGCCTAGAGAAAGGCAGAGCACACTGGTCCTGGTGGCAGTGTAAGGGTCCCCTGGGCACTCTTCAATTTTCAGATGTCTGCTAGGAATGATAAAAGCAGACCCCAGCCCCAGACCACATCCACAGTTGGCAAGTAGAGGCAGAGCTGCCCCACAGACAAGCCTGGTGGGAAGATGTGAGGAGCGTGTCTCCAGGGTCAGGGAGAGGTGGTCACCTCACAGGCCAGTGATGGTGAACCCTGCACCTGCTATTGAAGCCTTGGCCCTTCTGGGTGTCCAGCTGGTAAGCCAGCTCTCAATGCCTGGATCGTGAAGGGGGCCACAATGCAGAGGACCCACTTTTGCCCTGCCCACCTGGAAGCCTAAATATGACCTGCACGCCCAAACCCTGCTCCCACCCCAGCCACCTGGACAATAAGCAGGAAGCAGGAGCCAGTCCCCTGGCCCATTGGTTCCTGAGTCTCAGTCTATGCTTTGCAGGGGATGCTGCCCCCCGGGGCTCAGGGTCAGTGGCCCCTCCCCGACATCCCATGGGTCCTCCTGGGGCCCAGCATCCCCGTTGAGCACAGGAGCTGCTTGGAAACCACCAAGGAGACCCTGTTCTCCAGTGCTCCCCACCCTGCTGTTGCAGATACCAACTGGCCCTGAGGAGGGTTCAAGGCAGCGACCGGTCCTCCACACCCACAGCCACAACCCAGGGCATCATTCCCACAGCAGCCTGCCCCCATGATGCCCCGGGCACAGAGGGGGCCACTGCAGGCTCAGACCCAGACCACACAGCTGCATTTGCACCTTCAGGTCTCAGACTTGAGCCTGGGGAAGCTTTGTGGGGCAGAAATGCTGTGGAGGCCCTTGGCCAAGACCATGTCCCATGCCTCCAGGACTGCTTCTCCTGGGTCCATGCAACATCAGTTTCAGCAGGGGCCTGCATTCAGGAGTTCACCTGGGCCAACTACTGGGGCACACATGTTCCACGGGTGGTGGCCTAAGGAGGCCCAACTGCCCTCCACCAGGAACCCTTCCAGGGACAGCAGTGGAGACATCATGGGGTCAGACGTACAGACCCAAACGACAAGCTCATTTAACTTTTTTTCACTTTTATTTATTTTAAGCAATCTCTACACCCAACGTGGGGCTCAAACCCACAACCACGAGATGAAGAGTCGCCTGCTCTTCCAACTGGGCCAGCCAGGCACCCCAAGGTCATCTTTTACCTCGGGTCACTTCAGATAGCACGCCACCTTGGACACTGGGTGAATGCTCTGTACAGCACGGATCTATTTCTACCGTTGACAAAGAGTTTTTAATAGTTGAGATTTCACATACGGCGAGAAAACCTACATTAAGTAAAATATTTGCTAAGTAATCTGCCTCTTGAAAACCACAGGAAACACTATGTGTTTGGGTCAGATACCAGCCGTGGACTGAGGCAAGGCCTGGACCAGCACGGCAGCGTGGCACTGCCCCAGGGCCCACAGCTCATCACGAGGCGCCTCCACACTGCACAGTAGCTCCAGCCTGTCACAGGCCATGCTGTTGGCCAGCCCACAGGCTAGCCTGTCAACCGCCTGAGACGGACATGGGTTTCCAACAGAGACAAAGCACAGCATTCAGGAACAAAGATATAATGGAAGATGTTGTTCACAAGAGTGAGTTAAATACACACAGTGGTAAATTATAGAGCAATTTTAAATAAACTGATCAAAATCCAAAGAATGTCGAAGACGTACAAGTGCATGGCTGCACTTGAAGCCCTATGGCCCTGGAGTGAGATCAGAGCACCTCAGCCTGAGACTTGCACACGCACCACTTTCAAATGATGTGCAAGTGAAATCATCAAACAGGGGCTTGATGGGAGCCGCATCCAGCCCACGGGCCCGTCACTTCCTGTGATGCCCGAGCCGTGTGCGGTCTTCTAGGGAAGAGCCCATACCGGACATGGATGGATCAGCTGTGAAAAGGAACGTGTGAACCCATCTACAGGGTGAACCACAGATCTGGACCAAGGGTGAGGGAGCCCCGAGGTGCACAGAACCTGCCTGTCAGGTGCTGACCCCCCACAGGGCTGCCGGGACCTTCCTGTGGGCATGAAGGGCATCCGCCTACAGCATCTGGGAAGCCAGAGGTGGCAGTGGGGGACCCAGCCTGGCAGGGCTGTGGAGGGAAGTGGGGGGAGGGAAAACCACCTCAGGATCACACAGGACAGGGTGGCTCTTCAGGGGAAGGATGCCACCTTGTGGCCAGCCAGCAAGCAGATGCTGAACTTCAACCTCAGCAAAATGAAGAACCCACATTCCTAGGAGGGACCGCTTCTTCCCAAGTGGACACAAGCACATTTCAAATGCTGAGGCTGAACACCACATCTCCTGGACCCCACCTGTGTCTGTCCTTGGCCCGCCTTGGGGCCCCATGGCGGGCCCCCGGTCCCTGCCAGCTGGGTGCAGCTGTGGGAACTGCCCCTGCCTGGTGAGCCAGGGCTCCAGTGGACCAAGAATGCACGCAGAATATGTGATAATCGAGTTTTGTATTTGTAAGTGACCAAATCTAATAAAATGAAAAACAGGTTTACTAAAACAGGTCCAAAAGACGATACAGGAGATAAGCTATAAAACCAAAGCGTGAAGCCCCTCCTCGACACCCAAGCTCCATGGTCCCCAAAAGACCCCAGAGCGAGGTCAGGGAGCTGAGGATCTTGCATCTCCTCTAAATCCAAATTACACACTTTGGTTTTGTTTTCCTTTTCAAGGTTTTTAAAAAGCTAACCCCAGGAGTCAGGCAGGTCCACCCTGCGCTCGGCGGCACGTCCAGCCAGCCCATGGCAAGCTTGGGCCCAGTGTCCCTCGTTTTTGATCACTTCTGCTGGCCACGGCATATGGCTCACTCCTGCGCTATGCTTCTCAGCACATACTTGACCGTGTAGGCAAAGGCTGCAAACCCAACTATAACAAACAAGTTCGCCAGGGCGCCGCCCAGGAGTCCGTGGTGCCGGTTGGCCTGCTGGAGCCCTGCAAGGTGCGGCCCAGCCCCTGGTGCATGCCCATTGAGGAGCTGAAGCCCATTCTGACCATGGTGTGTTTCCCCATCTGGAACCACATCTGGTAAGGGGAGAGCCTGGGGTCGGCTACTGAGTTCATCTTGGGCTTTCTGTTTTTGTTTGATTTCCTAAAATAAAAACAAAGAAACAGGGGTTGGTCTAAACTAACAAGTTCCTTTAGGACTAGGAAGAGTCCCAAGATCCACCAGGAGCATGTGCTCAATCCCAATAGCCGCTCTCAGAGGTGGGGACTGCTGCTTGTACAGAGACTTGTCACAATCACCAAACCTGCACCTCCCCGGCCCTTGACAGAGTGGTCCTAAGTGACATGGAATCACCATGGCCTGCACCTTAGAGCAGCCCCCTGGCCCCAGACCAAGAGCAGGGTCCATGCCAGCCCCCCATGGCATGCAGTCCACCTGAGGCGCTCCAGGCCCTGACATCCAATTCCTCCCAGCCCCTGAGCACCTTGAGGAGGGGCCTAGGCTGCCCACACCAGTCAGCTCCACACACATGCATGTGGACACAGGTGCACTCTGTGCTGAGCATCTGCAGCACAGGGACACACAAAAGCACCATCTTCTCTCTGGAAGATTTGAATCTGAAAGTGCTTCCAACAAGGAGGGAGCAAGACTGCTCGCTTCTGTTCCTTACCTCCACGACTTCAGGGAATAATTCACAAAAGACTTTGTCTTTCAAATTAAATGCTAAACTTTGTGCAGCCAGTTGTCTTTTCTAGGAAAAAAGAGAATAGAAATATCAGCCCAAAAACTAATTTCAATTCTTCTGAATCCTAAAGACTATTTTATCCTCAAAAGCTGCTATCCTATCATTGAGAGCACTCAACAAGCTTTCTCTTCACAACAAACTAATTTAGTCTTATTAAGGCTTATCTTACCAGTACTATCAATTAATAACATTAGACTTGATTCCTACTTAAACACTGGGGAAATAAAAACCAGTTCACAAGGACTGCCTGCCCCTCCCAAGACCCCAGAGGAAGCTCGGCCCGCTCTTCCCATTGCTGAAAGGAACTGCCAACATGCAACCATGCTCTCCAGCCCTCACCGTGAAGTCCGACGTCTCTATGCTGCCCAGGGTGGGGCCTTTCTCCACCATGAAGCTAAGGAGCCCAGTCAGGATGGTGGAGACAGACCAAGCAGGGTTCCACGTGTCTGGATGGAAATCCGTGATGGAAAGACACAGCCTGAAAAACAGGGACCCACTCAATATAGCACACCCCCAGCCTGACCACACTCACACTTGAGAAGCAGAAATGCCTTACCTCGTATTGCACTTAAATCTTCCATTGGGCGTTATCATATAAATACTAGGAGGTTTAAAAGGAAATTCTCTGGGAAAAACTAGTTTTCCGTGGTAATAGCCACCTGTATCAAAACAGAGAAAGAGCCTTGTTACAGTCCAAAGCACAACTCCTGTAGGGGCAAACCCCTCGCGCTCAGCCCCATTCCAGCCTCCAGGCTAGTGTCCCACCCCACATGCTCTCCCCTATCTCTGTGCCCACCTGCTGGCCACCAGGAACACAAGAGTCTTGCTGAAGGTCTCACTGGGGGCTCATGACCACAAATTAGGAGTGGCCCTTGCCCTGCATGACTAATGCTCAACCAACCTGTGCCCTCTCACTGAGAGTAGAACATCAGAAGAGAAGCTGCACCAGGCCCCTTGCTGGCCCCCTCCTGCCCTCCTCTGCAGCATGTCAGCTGAGGTCACCCCTCTTCAGACCCGCTCTCTCCTGCACTACTATTTCTTCTCCTCCACCAAACTACATCCAGCAGCTAGCAAAACTGCTGTCATTTCTCCCACTTTAAATAAACCAAAAAACAAAACTCTGACTGCCACTCCCACCAACTCCTGACAGTTGCTCACTCTCCTTTATGGAACATCCCTGGAGAATCTTGTCCAAGTCTGCCCTGACAAGCTCTTCCTCCCACCCTGGTCCTCAACCTTGACATTGACATCAGCAGACCTCCCCACTGTGGCATTCCTGGCCCTGTCTCCTTGAGCCCCACCCTGGCATGGTGCCATCCCCATCTACCCCCCTAAGTGCTGGCCACTGACTGGCTCCTCTGGTGCTCCCCCTGACCACTCCCACTTCTGGGTTCTCACAGCCTCCCGTGACACGGGGGTACAACCCACAGACGGACCAAGAGAGAACACTGCCCAGATAGGTCCAAGACAGAATTTCACTTATTTCCCCTCAAACAGCAACTCCACCCTCTTAGCCATTCAGACTAAAATCTGGGAGGCCTCATTGCCACCCCAGCTCCCTGCCAGTCTCCACCACCATTTCACACCTAACTCCATCAGCAAATCCTGTTGGCTGCACCTTCAACACTTTGGGAGACCTTGCTAATCTCACGGCCTTCACTCCTACCCGCTCACCTCCCACTCCTGCTGGCCTGAACCTACCTGAAGCCTCACACCCTCCTCTCAGGGCTGCACTGGGAGCCTGCTGGATATGCAGACCTTTGGGCCCACCACAGGCAGGCTAAGTGGAACACACACTAACAGGATAACCAGCGACATGTGCATATGCATGACTGCTCAGTGAGGCTTCATGAGTTGCCTTGACCTCCACCTGCGCTCCCTGCTGTCCCCTGCACCCTGGGTGTGGTCCCACCTCAAGAATTGGGACACACTAGTCCCAAAGCACCACACATCTCTGCTCCAATGCCACTCTTGGGTAGGACGACCTCACCACCTCATATGGGCTTCCCACCAGACCCCTGGCCACCTCACATGGGTACTATCTTCTACCCCAAGCTCTGCCCGTAGTGGAGGGATGACATGAGCTAGTAGTGTCCCTTGTAAGGCCAACCCAAACAGGCAGACAAGTCCATCAGTGAGTAACTAACACTATAAATGATTCTTGGGGCACACTCACTCAAAATCACAAGAAAACCCAAATTGGAAAATAATCAAGCGATACAAACAGGTGCTCTTCCCAAGAGGAAGCAGGAACAGCCAAAGTGCACTTGAACCAGTTGGCTCAGTACTACATAGGAAATGGCTGCCATGTGTAGCTCAGTGGAGGGTAGTGGAAGGCAGACACGGCCTCATTGCCTGAGTGTGAACCTGCAGGCTCCTGAGGAAACCTGCCAGGAAAAGGGAATTCTCAATACTTGCACTGACCCAGCAACTCTACCTCTTGTCATCTACTGGAAGAATGTGAGGTGAAAACCTCCCAGCGAGGGAAGGGCTCTGTGCAGGAGCCAAGCACAGGCAACCACACAGGGAGCAAACACCTCTCAGCACAAACTGGAGAAGCAAGCACTCCTCCCCATTTAGGTGAGGACCTTCAAGGGGAGATGATGAATTCTGGGAGGATCTGTACTAGATGGGCCAGGAAGGCACATCCTAAAAGGTGAAGAGGCAAGGTAGGGGACCTGAGAGGATGGAGCCTCACCCAGAGGTCAAGTCCTCAGGGAGCACAGGGAAGCATGTCTCCCATGGCAACAATTCCCACATCCTTCCTTCCAAGTGTCCACAGAACAACGAGCACAGCCTTGGTAAAGCCCTAGGCAGAGACACTACAGAGAGCACTGTGGCCCTGGAAGGAGGCCAGGGAGAACAGCGCCCAGCATGATGCTGCACGTCAGTGCCGCACTTCCTCCACTGAACTGCTTTTGCAAATAAGGGAGTGGGGGTGGGGGGAGACCTCCATTGGCCACAGCTGTGCTGGACTGTTCCTGGTTCTCTACTCTGTTCCACTGACCTGCATTCCCGCATTCCCTCCTGTCTGCTCACTGAAGCTACATAAGTCTTAAAATCAGGCAGAGAGACTCCTCCCACTTTATTCTTGTTTTAACTATTCTAGATTCTCTTCCCTTCTGTGTAAGTTTTAAAACAAAAATCTTAGAATAAGTTTGTGTATGTCTACAAAAAAAAACCTTTGTTAGGACTTTGACAGAATTGTGTAAAATCTATAGATCAACAAAGGGAGAATCTTTAGCAACACTTGTACTAGCAGGAAACTATTTCTGAGCTGTTAGGATCGGTGTGCCTGGAGCAGACCAGGAGTAACCTGGCTATGGAGTCCAGAGCAAAGACAGGGTCAGTGGACAACCAATGCGGAGTCAACCAGACATGCACAGGTAGAGGAGCCATGAGAGACTGAGAAGGAAGAGTCAGAACATCCAGAAGTCAGGGGAGCACCAAGTAAGGAGTAAGCCAGAGTCAACACCATCCAGGTCCACAGAGCCCCAGACACTGAGGTCTGAGATCTGCCCCTTGGATCCCTCTAGACCCGAATGAAACTGGTCAGCAGAAGGCAAGGCTGCAGGCTGCAGAGTGGAGGAGGGGATGGGCAGAGACAAAGGGGAAGGATTAGGTACTGAGGTGGGCAGTGAGGGGAGGAGAGGCAGAGGAAGGGAAAGAGGAAGAGAGAAGGAGGAGCAGCAGCAGCAGGGAAAGTTCTGTCTCTGAAGGGAATTTTGAGGACCAGAATCAGCAGAGAAATTGAATACCAGACACAAGGAAGCATTATGACAGCATTAGGTCTGGAAAGAGGGCACGGTGCCTCTTTCTGCAAAGTCAGGAGACCCCATGCAGGCAGAGTGTGGGTGAATGGGGGTCTCCTGCACCCCCAGCCCTGCACACCTTCACTCCAGGCCTGCCCTCTCCTCTCCCAGCTAACTGCACCCTGTCCAGGTTCATTTTGCACAGCAACAAGCCTGGTTACAAAATTAATAAATGTTCACTACTTATTTGGAAAATACTAAAACTACAAAAAATAAACTTAAAAATCAGGCACAGGAGATCCCTGGGTGGCTCAGTGGTTTAGCCTTCCGCCCAGGGCATGATGCTGGAGTCCCGGGATCAAGTCCCATATCAGGTTTCCTGCATGGAGCCTGCTTCTCCCTCTGCCTGTGTGTCTCTGCCCCTCTCTCTCTGTGTCTCTCATGAATAAATAAATAAAATCTTTAAAAGAAAAAAAAAAAACAACAGCACAATGCCCCTTGTGAGAGAGAACATGTAGTCTTAACAAGCATTTTAACATGATCTGTACAGACGGCCCTGAAGCCGATTTTCTTTTCTTTTCTTTTTAAATTTTTATTTATTTATGATAGTCACACACACACACACACACACACACACAGAGAGAGAGAGAGAGAGAGAGAGAGAGGCAGAGACATAGGCAGAGGGAGAAGCAGGCTCCATACACCGGGAGCCCGACGTGGGATTCGATCCCGGGTCTCCAGGATCGTGCCCTAGGCCAAAGGCAGGTGCTAAACCGCTGTGCCACCCAGGGATCCCTGAAGCCCGTTTTCTGATGTATTTCTAGGAAGCCCACTTCAAGACCATGAAGCCCACGCCATGGCTGGGCATTCAGAGTCCCCAACATAATACTAACATACCCACCCTAAGACAGGCTTCTGCATCTGTTTCCCCAGAACAGGGAACTCCTGCACCCAAGAAGAGTTCTCAGAAAGCTAGTGACACATATGCCAAATGTTCTCCAGCAGCTGGACTGTTTTCCAGTGAAATCTTACGCAAAACCCCCATGTCAAGGTAGATGTCACCCGAAGTGAGGACTGCCCACCTGGCCACAGCTCTGCCCTGGGCCTGCCCTGCCATGGCTCATCTCCCAACCTGGCCTACACCCTGAAGCTGGCATCAGGCTCCCTGAGGACCTCCGACTCGTTGATCTAATCCCAGGTCTACTTTGTAAGACACCAGAGGACCCTGGGTGGCATCACCAGATCAGCCTCAGCAGCAGTTAGGAGAGCAGAGGTGCCAGCTGACCCAGAGCAGATTCTGCATCCTCCCTAAGGCTCAGTACCCCATCCACAAAGGGGCCCACCACTTAGCTCAGAGGGCTCAGCAGAGTGAGTACCCAATAAACACATCTTTTCTCTGACAATACTCATGTTGGTCTGAACAAACCCTAGGAGAAACTGGCCGCACTGTACTGCTCACCAGGCCTGTCTTCCAGCTCTGATCCCACTGAAGTCAGTAGCTGGGTCAACTCTGAGGTTCCAGAGAGCCCCTGAAGACAACACAATGGCAACACCAAACACTTCTAGGATTTGGAGAAACACCAGGATGGATTCCAAGGAAGTCCAACCTCATTGATGCACATCCCAAATAGAGCATAATTCACAAATACAAAGGGCTTGATGGGAGAGATATATTCAGATAGCAAATAGCCCCTTGTTCCTCTCAGATCAAAGACTTACCTTCATAAGGGGTCATCTCTGGGCCTCGGACCACATAGTGCCTGAGGGAGAGAAGAAAATCAGCTGGCTCTGGGGATGGCAAATTCTCCAAATTCTGAGTCACTTCAAGGCTGGGGTTGGTAGGATCCAGCCAAAACTAGACATTCACAAACATTCAGTAGGTGAACTTGTACTGCAGATGGTTTAGTCACTTTGTAACAGAATCTTAGAAACTGTTTCTCCCAGTTTTCCCACAAAGTACTTTTGTGTCCAAGATGCAAGAAACAAATCCTCTCTAATCATTGCAGTCACCTGAAAAATTTCTGATGTTAATTTCACATACTTTCTTGAGGTATACTTGGAAACTTGCATTCTTCATTCAGTATGCCCAAACATCATGAAGTAGGTGAAGCAGGGAGCAGCTGGTGACAGGAGGGGGGCTCTGGGTCCCCCAGTCTGTCAAGGTTCTGGGAGAGCCAGGCATGACCTCAGAGCAGCTATCCTCCAGCAGGAGGAACAGGGACAGCCCATGACCATCACTGAAGTCCTCACACACAGCCCAAGCCCAGGTGGGGCCCACGTGCCTCAGACAAAAAGCAGCACCCAGACACCATTCTCCCATGCAAATCAAGAGCTTCAGCTCTATGTCAAGAAGTGTTTGGACTTAAGGATTTTCAAACAAAACAGAAAAGCACAAAAGAGAAAGTAGAACCAACCAGAAATGCAAGACCAGACACTAACCGAAAAGCACAAAAGAGAAAGTAGAACCAACCAGAAATGCAAGACCAGACACTAACCTCTCTTCCCACAAACACCATTTTAATGCTGTGGACCATACACCACCTATCTGCTAGCTGATACATTTTACTCCAAAAACACTGCCATCCCATGTTGGCCGACCAGGAACAACTCTCAGAGCTAACCAAGCACATGACACACCCAGGAACATGGCCTTAATTTGTCACAGCTCCCAATTCCAGTGCCCAACTTGAGAACACTGCAAAGGGGCAGTGAGAGAGTACAGAGAGCCCAGCAGCCTGAGCACCAGAGCAAGGGATGGGCACCACTGACTCAGAGGCCATCCACAGTCTGGCAGAAGAGCTCGTCCAGCAGGCCTGATGTGGCTATCCTCAGCCAGTTCTGGGGAGAGGGTCCCACCACCCCAACTGAGCCAAAATTCTTGGTGCTAAAAATAAGATTCATGCTGAAAGGAAGCCTACCTTCCTCCTGGGAGTCTGGAACACTGGGAGGTGCCAGGCAGAGGTGCCTACATGACCTGCTCCCACTGGAAATCCCGCACCCTAGGTCTCTAACAGGCTTCCCTGGTGGACAGTACCTTACTTTTGTTGTCACACCAAGTCCTGTGAGTGCCCATGGGGATGGGAAGCTTGTGCCTGGTATCCTAGGGACCCTGCCCCCAGTGCCTTTTCCATTTGCTGATCTTGCTGTTTTTAACACTGTACTAAATAAACCTTAGCAGCAGATCCTCCTTGTGGATGACTAAACCTGGGGACCTGAATTCATGGGTAGGGAGAGGCTCCCCAGACAATGAGGATATCCCTGCATCTGCCAATCCTGTGTGTGGGGCCATGCTTGGTTTTCGTTGCTTGGGGGCAGGGAGAGTTCTGCTGTAACACTAAAGCCTCGTGCATAAAAGGCCCACCTCACTTGCCATGGCTCTAAGCCGAGGGAGGTGGATCCAGAATCCTTGCACACCTGTCCAATCTGAAAAGTATTTCTTTGTAACTCAATTAAATCCATGTTCTCTGGATTTAAAAAATTAAAAATTAAAAAAATTAAAAACTTTCAAAAAAAATGGTTTTCTTTTTTTAGACGTAGACTCCACGCCCAATATGGGGCTTGAAGTCATGACTCTAAGATCCAGACCTGAGCTAAGATCAAGAGTCACTTAACCAACTGAGCCACTCAGGCACCCCTAAAACACACTTTTTAAGATCAAAACACAAAATACCTTTCAAACAGAAAATGCTTATTACCATTTCAGCCCTATGCTTTACTTCCCACAAAATCACCAACAAATCTCATAATGGCAGCATTTCTGTAGAAGCACATAGCCTACTAAGACCACACTTGAACACAGCCAAAGAATCACTACAAAATAAGTGTCTGTGAGGTACAGAACCTGTCATGTCAGCCCAAGGGCTGCCCAGGCTAGTGTCAGGTGCTGAAGTATTAGGACTGCTGACCCTCTGTCACAAACTCTCCAAGGCAAGAGAAACTACTTCACAGCACCAAGAGGCAAAGAGCAAGAGGAGAGTCTAGAAATGCAGTGTCCCCATCAACAACTTTGAGACCTCCAAACCCCAGAGCCTCGCCTATGGATCCTGCAGACCCAGCATCCCACCCCCACCCCAAAGGTATTCTCCATCACTCTCTCTCTCCAGCCCCAGCATGCAGCGGTTAAGGAAGACCCCATCATGGCCCAGGCTGACAGCCATTATGAACACAACCAGGGCATATCTGTAGGAATCAGTGTACTGGCATCTGGAAAAGGTTTAACACACCTTTCCCAATGCCAGGATGGGAACACCAAGGCTACCCAACCAAGCCAGCAGAGAAACCAGGTGACAGTCAGTGTGGGGTGAATGGCAGTGCAGAGCCTTACCATTCAAGAATATTGGAAGGGAGGGGCTCAGCACAGATATAAGGTACCGGGTCCTTCTTAATTCGGAGATAGTCCTGTTTCAGCCGCTGGGTTGCTGTTGTTGGAGCTCTTTTATTGCTGTTGCTGCTCATCTATGAAAAACAAACATTTCTGTTTACAAAGAAATGAAAGACATGCCACTGCTTCCCTCACCCACAGATGGCTTCAGCAGTCCCACAACTTCTGCTTTCATTTCTGCAGCCCATCATCATGCACGGTTAATCCCAGCCACCCAGAACCCAGGCCTGCAGGTTGTCCTGACTTGCCCACCCACTCAGACGCCTGCAGGACTTGCAGATTCTCCTTTTCCGTCTGCCCTGCCACAACCTTCACTTATGTAATATCAGATGCAAAGATTAAACACACACACACACACACACACACACACACACACACACACATACACAAAGCCTCACTCCTGTCCTCAAAGAACCTAAATAGAGAGAAAAACCTAATTTAAAGGGTTCTAAGTAGAGGTCTGCAGAAGCCAGCCTGGACCAGTGTTCCTGGGTGACTGGGGATCTCTCTACAACTCTGTGCAAACAAAACGTCTATACCACGGAAATTAGGATGCACCCCAAACCAACCGCCACCAAAAGCCTATTGTTAAACATTTTCCAACACATCTACCACTGGTCAAAAGTGGATAGGAGGTACAGAATAGCAGAGACAGGGTTTCTCTCTGAGACTGGAGAGAGGAGATGCTCAGAAGTCTGACACACATGCTGGGAAGAGGGAAAAGGAGTACCCTCCACACAGAAGGAGCTGCATCATGGGTCCAGGAAAGAGCACTGGGCCAGTGTGTAAGGGGTCACAGCACAGTAAGCAGAGATTGACAAGGCTGGCCAGGGAGGCAAGGCCAGGCAGTCAGGCAGCACAGCAAAAAGTTTATAGGCCCAAGCCTTACAGGAGATCAGATTTTCTGTTAGATCACTTGGACGTGGGGCACCTGGGGGGTTCCACTGGCTAAGCATCTAACCTTCAGCTCAGTTCATGATCCCAGGGTCCTGAGATCAAGCCCCAGGTCAGACTCCCTGCTCAGCGGGGAGTCTGCTTCTTCCTCTCCCTCTGCAACCCCTGCCAACCACTCATGCATGCACGCTCACCCATGCTTTCTCAAATAAATTAACAAATAAAAATCTTTTTTTAAAAGGGAAGAAAAAAGATCACTTGGACAGTTCAGTGAAGGTCAAGTAGGAGATGAGATGGCACAGGAGGACAGCACTGAAGGCTAAGGACCAGGAGCGAGGTCAGAGCCTCACTCAGGAGGAGGAACGTGGCCTGGCTCAGGGGGCCCTGGGACACTTCAGCTATGCTAAGAGGCAGAGGGGAGGGATGGTGAGAGAGAATATAGAGCGCCCCACCCTCACAGACATCAGAACAGCTCCAACTCGAACTGCTACATAAACTGAAGTTTCCCTTAAGATGGCAAGGCAAAAAAGTTCTGCTGCTAAAAATAAAGTGTGAAAGTCACTGGTCTAAAATATGATACAGACAGAGGACACGTAGGGGTACACAGGAATGGAAAGGAGAAAGGAGCTTCCAGGCTACAGTGGTGGCAGATTGGAGCCATACCTGTCCTGCTCTCCTCCATGCTACTGACGCTGCCACTCAGAGATCTTAGCCCATCTTGCCACAGCACTGGACATCAGGGGTCAGGACCTCCACCCTGACCTCGGGCCTGCACAAACCTGAAGTGACTCCACCCCCACCTCCCACCATGATGCCTGCCCCTCCTCATCTCCACCTCAGAGCCTCTGCGTGCTCATTTCCCTAGCAACAGCCACAGCTCCCTCTGCTCCATCAGGTCAGAGGTCTGCGGACTCCTGCCCTCAGAGCACTAAACCCTTAAATGACAACCAGGACTCAGCGTGCTTATTCTACACCCCAGGGCCTGCAGAGCAGTCCTCCGCACACCACTGCCCAGCGCACTTCTTTGGGGCCCCTAAGTTTCAGAGCTTCTGTTCCCCTCCTCCTCCCGTTCCCACTCCACTTACCCTAATGCAGGGTCTCACTACTACTCCCATTAACCATCACAAAAGCCTTCCAACTGGCCTCCTAGTTTCTAGTCTCGCCCCATTTCTGTCCATCCTGTATACTTCAGTCAGATTAACTTTTTCCACCCACAGTTCTGATCACAGCATTTCAAGATTCCCCCATAACCAAGCAAATAAACTTCAACACCTCCCCCTGCCTGTAAGCCCTCGACACAGGAGTCCCAGCTAGTCCTCCTAGTTCCCAACTCTCAAAACCCCTCCTTATCCTAACCATACAGCTGCTTCTCAACCTGGTTTCTACAGGCAGAAAAATCACTTAGGCCTTTTCTGGCCCAACTCAAAAGTGAAGTCCCTCAAAAGCCTCCCTGATTTCCCTAGTCAAATGCCTCCACCAGCCTCCTTGCAATCCAGCTCCACACCACGCAGGTGCCTGCCAGGCCCCAGCAGAGATGCTGGTGAACTCACAGCAGGAACAGGCTGCAAACAGCCTGAGAAGGGAGTGCTTTCCCGCACAGTACTGCCCCCAAGCTCCTGGCCAAGCCAAGTGGGCCAGGTGGCTCACCTGGGAACAATACCTAATAACAAACACAGCAACGACCCAAAAGCAGAACCACTACACCAGACTTGTTTAGTTTCTTTTAAATGGTCACCGTGAGGTTAACGCTCTGCCATATGTAAAACAATTCAGTGGATAATTCAAATACCACTATGTTTGCACAGGCTGCATGCTTAATGAAGGTTACTGGACAGCTGCACAAAACTAAAGGGATCCTGCCTGGTCAGTCACAAACTTCTCTCTCCTTCTTACTCCCAAAGGCATGATCTTTAAAATCACATTCATGATCAACTACTCAGTTCATAAAAAAGAAAGGGCTCCCCACCGACCCCTCCTTTGCCTCACTCAGGGCCCCACGGCCTCTCCAGTCCACAGCATCTACACACACTATGAAGCAGGTCTCAAGTTCCTGCAAATCCCCACAGACAGGGCACATAGAGTAGAAGTCTGAAAGAAATAGAGTGCAGACATTTAAAACAAACAAACAGCATGAATAACCAATTTTCACATACAGAAACTGAAAGAAAATAGCCTGAACCAACATCCCAGGACAGGAGCCCCTTCAGCTTCCCATCGACACACTTGTCATGGGTCCAGCATCCGTTCACCCTGCTCCTTTTCTCTCCACACATCTCTCCTTCTCCATGTAAGTGTAACTCAGTGACAGTGTGGCAAGAGACCTTGGCCTGACCAGTCACCAGGGCACGTGACACACCCAAGCCCACGACTTTCACGGAAGTTTCTCCTTTCTCCACCAGGATTGCTTCACAGGCTGGACAGACTCCCGGGGCTGATGGAGGCGTCCCCATCACCATTGGTGCACCTGTCTGAGCAGGGAGCTGCCACAGAGGTCAACACCTCCAAACAGTGCCGATGACCAACTGCAAGTCCTAGGCACCATGATCCGACCCTGCCTGACCGACACCACCGGTTTTTCAACGAGGCCTCTTTCTACCAAAGCTAGACTACACCAAGTTCCCCTCATTGGGAATGGACAGAGCAGCCCGCTCCTCTGCTGGGGGAGTTCCTGTGCACCTACTAGCGCTACTCCCCCCAGGCTGCGGCACTGCCTCTACCAGCTATGCCAGGCCTGAAAGAGGCCGGGGACCACAGGGGGATTAAATACAGACCAGCTAGTGGTACCGGCTGGAAAAAGAGCTAGAAGTGCACATGTGGCCGGACGTGGAGAGGGTGCAAGCGCCCTCAGTGCTGGAGCGCGGCCCGGGGCCCAAGCGGGGCCACCGACTGCGGCTTCCCACCCCGACCACCTGAATCTTCTCTCGGCTGTTGGCCCAACAGGCCTCGCCCCAGGCACACTCACACCTGCCGGGATTCAGGGAACGAGCCGCCGGGCCTGAGGCGGCGGCGGGCTCAGGAGCAGCGCCCCCCCACCCCTGACTCCGAGGACATTTACACACCAAGATCTACGCCGGCTCGTCCTGGAGGTGCCCGCAAGCGAGCCACTAGCCCGAGGCCTCTCCGCAGGAGCCCCAGCCGCGGGGCCAACCTCACCTCCACGCTGGCCGGAGGAGCACCCCGGCCCGGAGCCCCGGGCGCCCCGCCGTAACCGACCTCCGGTTCCGCGCACGGAGGCTCCAGGCCAGGGCCGCTCGAGCGGCGGGTCGGGCGGAGACAAGACTGGCAGCGGCCCCGTGCCCTCCGCGCGAACCGGCTCTGGCGGGGCGGGCGCGCGCTCACCTCTCCCCGTCGCCGCGCGTGGGCCGCCGCCGCGCTCAGGCTCGCCGTGGTCGAGGCCGGAGCAGGGAAGGAAGAGCCTCACGGCGCCGGGACCGAGACCACCGCACCACCGCAGCGCCGCCACCGCCTCAGTTTGCAAGATGGCCGTTCCCCGGGCGGGGGAGGCTGAGCCCCGCTTCCGATTCCGGTGCGCCGCGCTCAGGGGCGGCCGCTCTAGCCGGCCGGGCGGACGTCGCCTGCGTCTCGCCGCCACTTCCTACCCCTCTCGGCCGGAATCGCCCGCGCGTGCGCACTGGCCCGCAGCTCCGTGGGGCGGGGCCCGAGGGCGGACGGTCTGCGCGTGCGCGCTGACGGCTGCTCTGCTGGGGGGGCGGGGCGGGGTTGGACCCCTGGGCCCTCGGGTGACGTGGTGAGCAGGCGCTGACCCATCCTTCCGACGTCCAGTGGGCAGCCCCGGGGACTATCAGTGGGCAGCCCCGGGGACTATCAGTGGGCGCGGGATCCCGGAGCCTTCCCCACGAAGGAGGGTCGGCAGAGTCCGTCCCAGGCAGGGCACGCCGTTCGGGGAGGACTGCCCAGCCCGGGCAAAGGGTGACCCCCGAGGTGCCGGGTGAGCCGCCTGAGTTCACGGGTACCCCGACTCTCGCACCGGCCACCTTCCAAAGAATGGGGCCAGTCTGGCCAGGGGGACCCAGTCCTGTGCCCCCTTAACAGAAGAGCGCCCCAGGAACTAGCGTCCCCTGGGCCCCTAAGGGTCATGTCTGGCCACCAGGGAGGCGTGAGGTTGGGGAGCCCGGCCAGCACCTGTACCAGGTGGGGTCTGCCGGGCAAGCCTGTCCAGCCCCTGCCCGTGGGGAGAGCCAGCCTCATAAAGATAGTTCCAGGTTCCCCAGCTGAATTTTCCACCCAGCCCATGAATAGGATCATTATGCAACAGTGGACACTGCACTGAGGCTTGCTTTCTGCTCCCACGGTCCCCTCCCTGGCCTGGGGGAGGGGGAGGCAGAACTGGCCACTGGGCCATGGAGCATGCCTGAAGTGGGCAGGTGGGGATGCCGCTCCAAGGGCCAGCCACAAAAGGACCCTGATTGCAGAGGCCTGGAGCTGGTCCTCTCCACCTCCTCAAGTCGGCCATGGGGAAAGGTTTGGAGGGACATGAGGATGGCACACAGGAGGTAGGAAAGTTGGTGTCTGAATGCAGGGTGGGGTGGGTGGCTGAGCAGGCCAGCATACTTACTGCCTACTGCCCTCCCTGGAGAGAAGATCCAAGACAGGGCCGAGTGGAGGCTGGGATGTCTCTCTTAGGTGGTGTCAGGGGAAATGCTGTGTATCAACTAGGAGGCGGGTGGTGGTCATCAGCCTGGACGTATCTGGAGAGGCCATTGCTATGCTGTACTACATGGCATATCCATGGGATAGAGCTGGGGTTCCAAACCCTTCACCATGCCTATCTGCCTCTGGGCATGGGCCACGAGCCAACCAGGTGACGCATCACACTACAGTTGACAGTGGACACCAAGCACCGGCAGGTCCAGCCATGGCCGCTGGGAGAGGGCAAGCACCATGCTTACCCTTGAGTCTGGCCCACCCAGGGAATCTCAGGCAGGATCTAAGCAGCTGCAGACCTGACCCCAGGCCCTGGGCAGAACCTGGAAGGCATGCCCGTCATCCATTAGTCTGCAACCAGGCAAGTCAGCCCATGGCAATCCGGCCTGCTTCCGCCTTCTACCCCATCACCCAGCCCCGGCCTTCCTTCCTCCTGGGGAGCCTGGCGGTTTCCAGAGCTCAGCCTCGCGCTGCCACATTCAGCATAGCTTTCACCCCTCCACCTCCTCCGGGGGTTCTCCCAGCCCCACGCGGGGCAGACCCAGCTGTTTTTAGCACACAGAAAGTTACATAAGGGAGGCCACAGCAGGGCACCTGGGGTTCAAGCACAGGTGTGTCTGGCACACGCCCACACACACCTGCAGAGTACAGGCAGTGACAGTGCGGGGCTGGGGCCTCAGGCAGGTAGAGGCCCTCTCCTGCCTCAGTTTGTCCCAGTGTAAAATGGGGGTGCCAACTTAATGTGGGAGCATCTTGATGGGAAGGCTCAGCTCAGAACTCCTCGGCATAAGCCCCCAACCTCCTGATCACCAAGCACCCCCGAGTCACACCTAAGGGCGAAGGTGCCCGAGACAGATGTGGCCTGCAGGTCCTGTGAAGACCCTCACCCTACAGCTCTACATATGCTGCCTTCCGGGCCAGCCCTCCGACCATAGAGCTGATGGTCTCAGCAGTTGAGACAGGGGTAGGCAACTAGGCTGGTGGCAAATGACAACGAGACCTTCTTAAACCCCAAAGCCATCCTTTTGGAGCAAAAGCTGGAGCCAGCCCTTCCTACCAGACTTCCAACCCCTGCTGCTTCTGCCAATGGCCAAACTGCAGGAAGAGGAAGGCTGTATTCACTCCTGAGCATCTTGAGTGAGAGCCTATGGCTCTGTGTCAGAAGAACTGCCAGGAAACCAAGAGGGTTAGAATCAAGAAAACATCCTCTACCAGTTGCTGTTACCCGCCCCCTCCCTGAGCACAACTTGAAGGCCTCGGTCACATCTGACCAGTAGAGCCGCTTGGCTGGGGCTCAAGAGAGGGTACCAGAGAGCCAGCCTAGAGGTGACCAGACAAGAAGTGTGCACACACCCCAGCCCTTCAAGTGGGAGACAGCTGGCTAGACCCTGAGCCCCACCCACCCCCAGCTGGCAGGAGGCATCTCAGGGAGGTCTCCTCTGTGCTGCTGAAGCCCCTGCTTAACCCTGTGGTCAGTGTTTGGGGGAGTGGGGAGGCTCTACGTTTCTCCTGGAAGCAGATAGGCCAACCCCCAGGCCCAGGGAGGGTGACCCCCACCTGCCCGTGCCTACCAGGAATCCAGCACATGTGCACAGCCTGTGGGCTGTCACACCACAATCCCCTAGGACGAACTCTAAGCTGCCCCTGAGGGTAGGGCCACCCACAGGTAGACAGGCTGTGCTTGGGGTCCCCATGAAGCCCCAGAACCAACAGTCCCAGGTCAGCCCCAGCCTGGAAGGGGATGCCTCGACACCCTAGGCCCAGCCGCAGGGAAGTCCCAACTGGGGTTGTACTCAGGAGGTGGGGGCTAGACATCCTACTGTCCTTCTGGAGAGAGGGTGGATGACATGGGACCACCCACCTGTCCCTTCCCTGAGGCATCCTCACACTCCTTCAGTACAGCTACTGAGGTGTGACCACATGGGCCTGTCCTGTGCCAGGAGCTGGAGTCACCCTGTCCTGCTCCAGCCTGCATTCCTGCTCCTCCCCGGGCCAGTGAGGCCTGGAGAGGCAGGAGAAGGGATGTCCCAGGAAGGGAGGAGGGGGCTGCCAGCCTCACTGCCCCTGGATGCAGTCACTGTATCCTGGTGAGGCAGCCAGAGATCTCTCTGCCCTCCCTGAGGTGGACTCTGGGGTGACCTCCTCCCTTCCACTGGCTGCTGGCCCTTTGGCAGTCCTCCAGCTGTCTCCCCAGGAGGAGGGAGGGAAGGTTTGTGCCTGCTGCCTGGATGAGCTCTGACATGAGTCCCTCAGGCACAGGTCATCATCACAGGGGAGCCTCTGCCCCTGCCCTTCTGCCCGCAGGGCTCCCTCCCCCACAGGAAAGTGGGGTCTCCTGTTCCCTACAAGCAGCCCTGGGCTGGCAGGAACTCTTGCCAGACTTGAGCTCCCCAAGGCAGGAGTCCCTGGGACCCTCCTTCCTGGCTGCTCACTTCTTCAGCCTCCTGAGCTGGGAGCCACAGGTCCTTCCTGTTCTAATGCCCCAGAGCACTCGGGCCCCTCTGCTGCTAAGAGGCCTCCCCTAGGCGAGTGTGCCCCCACTCCCTCGATAATGTAGCCTATCCCACAAAGGAAAGTTGTTCCATGGCAGAGGGCCTGAGACACCGCCAGGCCTGTGCTGAGTCTGGAGGCTCTGAGGGGGGACTTGGGGAGGGGGTATCTGTCATGCTGATCCCAGCTGGTCCCACTTCTGAGCCTTGAGCAGGAAGAGGAAACTGAGGCCCATTTTGCACTTGAGGAAATGGGCTCTGAGAGGTGGATTGATTTGGGCAAGATCACAGAGTCAGTGACAAAGCTGTGATTCGCATCCACACCCTGGTGAGTCTAGGGCCTGCTCTTCCCCAAGGATGACTTCCTTCTCCCAGACATCACCAGTGGCCATCTGCCTCCTTCCAAAGCCCCAAGGCTGATGACCTCACCCCCTCCCCGCCCAGAGCCAAAGTCCTACCAGCAGGGCCTATTGGGAGTGAGGCTCCCTCCATCATCCCAGTCCAGGCCCTTAGCACTGATTTGGGGTGGGGTGTCAGAACCTAGAGCCTGCCCTGTGGGTGCAGGGGGGCCTGAGCCACACCCCAGACCTGGGACCAGGCTGGTCATTTGGGATGGGGAGTCCTCTGAGTCATGCTGAGTCTGGGGTGTACAGGTTGTCCTGCCTTCAGCACACCCTCCAGCCTCACACAACCACACTGAGGTCAAAGATTTCAACCCCTGGACAGGGTGATCTGGACCTTGAGTGTGTATGTGGCCAAGACACATGGTATGTCTTCTTCGTAGATGCCGTGTCGTCTTATTCTGCAGTGTTATCAGTGGGAACAGTGAGCTGTGTGCCACAGGGCACCAGGTGCCGTCTCCACACCCAGGCCCTGGGTTGTTCCCACAATTAGAGCCGGTCCCAGGGGCTGGGTGGCTGGCCCTAGACACCTGGGTTCCAGGAGTGGCGCCCCTGCCCACCATCCCTTGGTCACAGACACCTGTGGTCAGTGCTGGCAGCGCCCCCCAGAAAGGGATGTCTCACTCCCTGGCCTATCAGGAGTAGAGCAGGCAGAAAGATGAGGGTCCAGGGCCAGGCCAGGTCTGCTGGGAGCTGGAAGACCAGGTGTCTGACCCTAGGGAGATCCAAGCTTCAGGAGTTGGGGGGGGGATGGGAGGGTCTGCTCAGAGAGAGTCACGTGAGTCAGGCAATGGGTCTCAGCCAGTAAAAGCCTCTCCTGTCCCTCTAGAAACCAAGAACCCCTCATGCCCAGGTCTTGCTTCTGGGGCTCTGGGCAAGAAAGGCTCACCCAGGGGAAGGACCCCCAGCCCTGCCCCTGTGGCTTCCCCTTCCGGGTCCGGAGAGGGTGTGTCTACCCCTGTGGCCTGGCCCCTCCCGCCTCCCCCACACCCCAGCCAGCCTGGTACAAATAGGAGGCAGCCTGGCCAGTGTTGGGCCACATCCCACTTTGTCTTGTCACCCACTAGAGCTGTCGTCACGGAGGCCAGCCACCGTGGGACAATGAAGGCTGCAGCTTCAAGGTATCCGAGGGCACCTGTCATGGGCTCCCCTTCCCATGCTGGGGGGCAGGGAGGGGCATCCTCGGGGTCTCTTGGTCACACAGGCCTGCTGACTGAGGGTTTGGTGTATGTGATGGGCATGTGTGTGTGCGTGTGTGCACGTGCACGAAGGGGTCACGTGGCCCTGCCGTGGCTGTGTCTGACTCCAGATGTCTCAGGCCCCTGAGTGCATCTGGGCCTCCATACCAAGTGCCCTGACCCTGCCCCTATCTCAGGAGACGCCACAGGCTCTTTGGGTCTTCAGGATCCCCATCTTACTGTCATGGTAGCCCCAGCGGGTGCAGGAGGAGGCTGGCTGGGGCCACATGTCTAGAAGAGGGCATACATGGTTACTGGACTCAGAAAGAACCTTCTGGAGCCTTTGTGCCTAATCTATAACATACGACTTAGGGTCCTTCTCATTCTTGGAGGCCCAGTGTGATCATGGGGGAGTATATGCAGAGACAGAGCTCTGTGTGATGTGAGACCCAATATCAGTCCCCGGCACTGGCAGGCTAGCAGGCCTGGCCTTGTCAGGGTCCCATGTCCCTGGGGGAGCCCTGGGTCTGTGCCTCTGTTTCTCCAGGGCCCTCAGGTCTCCACCATTGGACAGCCCACTGGCTTTCACTGAAGCCCCAGGTCCACAAGCAGGGCTTCCCTGGGGACACAGCTCAGTCAGCGAAGCCTCGTCTAGGAGCCCATACCACTTGAACAATACCCAGGCCTGACCCTTCGCGCAGCCGTGGCTGGAGCAGTCTGGTTCCGTCAGCCCCAATCAAATGTGGCCATGCTGGCCACTAAGGGTTGGTAGAGGCCATTGAGGCCCAGAGTCTAGTCTTTCTGGAGCCCCCAGACCTCCAACGTTGACTCTAGGCCCAAGGACACCCCAAGCAGGTCACCTGGCCTGCCCCTACCTAGAGGCCCCTGCCCTACTGGTGTGGACAGGAACCTGGACCTACCCAGCCTCAAGCCTGCCTGTAAACAGTAGAAAAGCTGCCCCTCTGCTGTCCCTGTCCCCACCAGGCAGACCCAGCTCTGGCTGCAATGAGACCTGCCTACAGAGGCTGGCGGGTGCCCTGGCAGGTGGCTGGGGAATCGCTGTGGGGCTGGACCCAGGCCTCTGATAGGGCCTCAACAGGCTGGGCGATGCCCCCAGCAGCCAAGCGACATGACTGAAGTTCCTGGGGGCAGAGAATGGAAGTCCTGGTGGCGTGGGGTGAGGAGGCCCACATGGAGTCAGGTTGGGGCACAGGCTGGGGCCACACTAAGCTTGCTTTTTGGATGCAGGTAAGAGCCATGGCCCTCACTCCTGGTGGTTCCCCGAAGTCGCAGGAGGAGCAGCCGCCACTGCCACCACTGCCCGAGGACAGGCGGCAGGAGAGGCTAGTGGAGCTCCACACCTCCTTCAGGGAGCTCTTCACCTTCTTCTGCACCAATGCCACCATCCATGGCACCATCCGCCTCGTCTGCTCCAGCCACAACCGCCTCAAGACGGCATCCTGGGGGCTGCTGTTTGTGGGTGCCCTGGCTGCACTCTATTGGCAGTTTGGGCTCCTCTTTGAGCAGTACTGGCGCTACCCAGTCATCATGACGGTGTCCGTGCACTCGGAGCGAAAGCTCTTCCCGTCCGTCACTCTGTGCGACATGAACCCCCACAGGTGGGGGCGGGGGGCTGGCCAGTGGGTTTCTGACCCCCCGGCAGCCTGTGGGCATCTCCCCAGGTGTGGTCACAGTGGAAGCCCCAGTGGCTCACAACGCCCAGGTCATGGGTGACTCCACCTCTCACTACACCCCTGTGCCCAGCCAGGAACTCTGAGCCCTCCGCCCTGGGCAGCGGTGGTGGGGAGTGGGGGCGGGGCACGTTCAGGGCCAGAGAGGAGCCATTTGGAGCCTGTTGTGATCTATGCCACCCAGACACCCAGGTGCTGGGCAGCTGGGAAGGGTGAGGGGAGGTGGGAGGGAGCTTCCCAGAAGCATAGCCTGGAGCTAGGCTTCGGGTAGAAGGAGGCTGCAGGAGCAAAGATAGTGGAGGGGAGTCCATACGGGGCCCCTCTAGATTCCCCCAAACTGATCTTTGGGATCAGTCCCACGGAGGCCGGCACACTCTCCCCTGGCAGTACCTTGTGGCTGATGTGGGGGACTTCCGGGGTGGCTCTGACTCAACCTGCCCCCATCCCTTGCCCATCACCCCCTAGGCCGAGGTCAGCCTGCCACCATCTGCAGGTACTAGATGAGTTTGCCCGGGAGAATATCCACTCTCTCTACAAATTTAACTTCAGCGAGGACAGGGATGTCCTCTGTGCTGGTGACCAGGTCCCACTGCCGGCCTTCTACTTGGACCGCACGATCCGCCTGCAAAGGCTGAGCCAACCAGGTGATCAGAACAAAGTGGGTTTCAGACTGGTGAGTGTCCCTGGCCCTGAAAGGTCCTGGCATGGGTGTGGGCAGGAGAGGAGACCATGCTGAAGGGACCCCACACCCCCCAGTGTAACAGCACAGGTGGAGACTGCTTCTACCGGGCTCACTCATCAGGTGTGACAGCCGCCAGAGAATGGTACCACTTCCACTATGTGAACATCTTGGCCCTGCTGCCCACTGCCCGTGAGGACAGCCACCGAAGCCACAGAGGCCACTTTATCTTCTCCTGCCAATTTGATGGCCAGGACTGCCAGGCCCGGTGAGTGGGAGTGGGCAGGTGGCTGCTCCCCTCACCCCCCTGTGGCATGGGTGCCAGCCCTGAGGTCTGGCTGGCAGCAAACAGCTTCCTCCAGAGATAAGGCCACAGTCCCCCAGGCCATGTGCAATGGATCATGGCCCAAAGATGTGTGCTGGTCTGAGTGTGGCTCCTGGCTCCAGGCACTTCCAGACCATCCACCACCCCACCTACGGCAGCTGTTACACCTTCAATGGCATCTCGGCCACGCAGCACCCGGGCATCACCCATGGTGAGTGCCATCCCCAGGCTGAATGGGACAGGGGGCCTCTGGGCCAGCCTGGCATTACCCCCTCCTTTCTCAGGGATCAGCCTGGTCCTAAGAGCTGAGCAGCAGGACCAGGTCCCTCTGCTGTCCACGGAGGCCAGCATCAAGGTCATGATTCACGGGCGTGACCACACGCCCTTCCTGGAGCACCAGGGCTTCAGCGTCCGGCCAGGGACCGAGACCACCATTGGCATCCGAGAGGTGGGTGGGCTCCTGGGAGCAGGGGCAGAAGAGGGTCTCCACTTCTCTACCCAACCCTAGGGCATCAAGGGGGGGGACAGTGGAACTGAAGAGTGTCCCCTCCCATCAGGATGAGGTGCACCGGTTGGGGAGCCCCTACAGCCACTGCACCAGGGATGCTGAGGGCGTGGATGTGCAACTACTCTACAATGCCTCATATACCCTGCAAGTGAGTCTGGGGCCACAGGATGGGGGGAGCGTTCAGGAGGGACCCGGGAGGCCAGGAGAGAGGGTGGTCAGGGCAAAGCCAGGTAGGAGGGTCCAGGGGGAGGGGTGACCACGGAGGAGGGCACAAGGAGGGCAGGTGCTCCGCTGAAAAGGAGATGAACCGGGTCCTCTTACAGCCCCAGGAGAGGGCTGGTTCCCCCCAGGACCTTCAGCTCATGTCTCTGGCTGTTCCTCCCCACACACCTGTCCCCCCAGACCTGCCTGGTGTCCTGCTTCCAGCAGCTGATGGTGGAGACCTGCTCCTGCGGCTACTATTTCTACCCCCTGCCGTCAGGGGCCGAGTACTGCAGTTACACCAGGCACCCCGGCTGGGGTGAGACCCAACCCCCCACCCCAGCCTGGCACCCATGAGGGGGTGGAGCACTGTCAGGCCCTGCCCGGGGTTGGATCTTCCTGGGTTCATTGGTGACCCCTCCTCCACAGGTCACTGCTTCTACCGCCTCTACGGGGACCTGGGGACCCACCGGCTGGCCTGTGCCTCACGCTGCCCCAGGCCCTGCAGGTGAGCGCAGTGTGGGAGTCCAGGGCTGGGGATTGCTGCTGTAGCAGCAGCACCGTGGGAGTGTGATGGGGCCTGTCTCTCCCAGGGAGTCTTCCTACAAGCTCTCCGCTGGGACCTCCAGGTGGCCTTCCTCAAAGTCAGCTGTGAGTCCCCTCAGGAGTGGAGTGGGGGGTGGGCATGCAGGTGGGTCTCACAGGTCCCAGGGAGCCCACCCTAGGGCAACCTGCAGTCCCCATGCCCTGCCTGCCGCCCAGCACCCTGAGGGCTGGCAGAAGCAGTGGTCACAGCGAGCCCTCTGTGTACAGGACTGGATCCTGTCCGCACTAGGCAAGCGGGACCCCAGGAGCCTGAGCCAGAACCCAGGCCTCAGGTGGGTGCATGCACCTTCAGGGGTCCTGGCCCTGCTGTCTTCCAGCCTGTCCTTCACTGCCCTGAGGAGGGGCCCTGCCAGGCTGGCCCAGGACCCAGCCCCTCACCCCTCTGCCTTGCCCTAGGAGCCATGTGGCCAAGGTGAACATCTTCTACCAGGAGCTCAACTACCGGACAGTGGATGAGACACCCATTTACTCGGTGAGCCCACCAGGAACCAGAGCAGGGCCGGGAGCAGGACCCAGAACCTCCCGGGGCCCAGCCCTGTGCACCGGCTCACTACCCACTGACGCTTGCAGGTGCCTCAGCTGCTTTCAGCCATGGGCAGCCTCTGGAGCCTGTGGTTTGGTTCATCTGTTCTCTCTGTCCTGGAGCTGCTGGAGCTGCTGCTTGATGCCATAGCCCTCGCGCTGCTACTAGGCTGTCGCTGGCTCCGCAGAGTGCGGGCGCCTTCACCAGGAGCAGCCACAGGAGCATCCCGGGGTACACCAGAAGCCAACAAGTTGCCCACGGATTGCAGGAATGACATTAATCCTCGGGGGGGGGGGGAGCCTGCCAGCCTCATGCCCCACAACGCTCCCGGGAGTCCTGGCAGGAGTCCTTGCTGAAGAGTTAGGCCAAGTGAGAGCCCCAGCCTCCCCACACCTGAACCTGCTGGAACTTGTCCTGATCCTGAAGGCTCTCCTGGCTGCCCAGGGTGAACCAGACCAGCCCCACAGAGCTGCCCCCAGCCAGCTAAGCCAAACCCAGGGCCCAGGAAGCAGCACCGGGATCTGCAGGCAGGCAGCAGGCGGGTAAGCACTCTCATCAGCCCAGCCACCCTGCCCAGTGGTGGTGGCCTCACTCAGGGATGCCCAGAGCAGTGTCTCTGCTGCTCTGGATTCCCGTGTCTAGTCTGTGCATTGCTGTGAGTGTGTGCATTGTAAGAGGGAGGGGGCTGGGCAGCCCAGGTGGCTCAGCGGTTTAGCGCCAACTTCAGCCCAGGGTGTGATCCTGGAGGCCCTGGATCGAGTCCCACGCCGGGCTCCCTGCGTGGAGCCTGCTTCTCCCTCTGCCTGTGTCTCTGCCTCTCTCTCTGTGTCTCTCATGAATAAATAAATAAATAAATAAATAAATAAATAAATAAATAAATAAATAAATAAATAAATCTTTAAAAAAAAGAGGGAGGGGGCCCCCCATATGGGTGTGTGCCTGTATGGTCAGCGTCATATAAATGAATGTGTGTCTCTAAATCACCTGTGTGCAGGTGCGTGCAGGCATCAGCCAGAGCCTCCCTCAGCTCAGGGCAGGTGGGAGGGAAGGTAGAGCCAGGCCTGTACTTGGTAGCCTTGGGCTGCTTTGTAATAAAATCAGTGATTCCACCTGGTGGCTACAGTGTGTGCGCTTCTCAGTTACCCCTCCTGCGTAAGCTGAAAACCCCTGGCTATAAATCCACACTCCTTGGAGCCGCAGACACACTGTGGGGGCTGGGGGACAGGAGGACACTGTGCCCATGGCCAGCTTGCAGGGCCAGGGCTTGCCCAGGAGACAGGACAAGCCCCAGACCACTCTCACAACTAAGCATCCACTCCCTACTGTGCCCTCCAGGGGACAAAGTCCAGGCCAGAGAAAGGCAGAGGGGCAGGGGCTGGGGGAAGTCCCAAGGCCCCCAGCAGGACCCCAGCAGGACCCCAGCAGGCCGTGGCTGCGTTCTGGTTTACTGCATCCTTTCAGGGTATGGATGCTCTCCCACTCAGGGCCACCCCTCAGGGAAGCCAGGTGACCCAGAGACACCTCCTCCCCAGATGAGACAGAGTGGAGTAAGGCGGGTGAGCCAATGACAGGCAGGGATGCAAGCAGCAGTTTATTAACTGTGATCTGGAGCGGGGGCAGGTCCTGCCAGCCCGAGGCCCTGATGCAGGTAGTGGGGTGGGAGGTGGGGGCAGAGCTCAAGCAGGGAGAAAGGAGGGAGTTAATTCTGCTCTTTTGGGGTCACAGCCAACAGGCGAGGGAGTTGGGGGACTCAGCACCCACCTTGCCGCCCATGGAGCCTCCCTGGACAGCTTTTGCATAGTGGCCTTGGCCAGACCAAGGATGTAAGTTGGGGTGAGGCCCAGCCACTGCCCCAGGGCTCCCAGAAGGGGGAATGCAGGATGAATGCCTTGGTGGGCCCTGGGGGGTGATTTGAGGGGCCCCTGGACCCATCCACAGGCCCGGCTAGAGGGGTGAGGCCGGTGAGGGGCAGGGTAGAGTTGCAGGAGCCTCCCCCCAGCAGCAGGCAGAGCCAGGTGTGTCAAGGTGGTCCTCAAGAATCCACAGAGAAAAGACGCAAGACAAAGTGAGAAAGAGGTCGTTGTAGAAAATCTGCTCAGTCTGTGACAAAGAATGTCAGATGCAGGGGTGGAAAGTGCCAAAGTCCTTTATGCACCGGCTCTGGGCCAGAGCCTCTGGAGGAGGCAGGGACAGGTCTCCGGCCACACAGGACTGGGGCCTGTGTGGCCAGCCACATGGCCTTGGGACGCCTGCGTCCAGCCAGGGCTGAGGCCCCAGGCCACAGCCCACCCCCCCAGCACCCGAGAAGCCCAGCCTGGATGCTGGTAACTAAGTGAGGTACACGGGTTGATTCCCTGGATGGGCTGCCCCTTCTGCCCTCAAAGGGCACTGGTGGCCAGCCACCAGCCCCAGGGCCTAGCAGAGGGGCTCTGGGGGTGTGTAGGTGGGACCCAACTAGCAGGTCAGTGTTCTACGGCAGTAAAGGTGGGGGCACGAGGTGACACAGGCCCTGAAGGCAGAGAGGACCTAGGATGGATGCAGGGGCATAAGGTGACACAGGCCCCAGAGGGAGGGGGCGTCTGAGGGGCACAAGGTGACATGGGGCCTTCAGAGTGGTTTGTGACGTGAGCAACCCAGCTCCCCAGGAAAGGGGTCACCTGAAGACACGGGGTCCCCAGGTTTGATGAGGGGTACCAGGCAATGCAGCACCTCCCAGGGGGAAAGTGGGGCTTCTTAAGACTCAGTGCTGGGGTCCCTCACAAGCCCTGGGGCTGGGGCGGCTCTAAGGAGAGCTGGCCAGGCCCTGGGGCTCTCAGGAATTGGGCCCAGGGCCACCAGAGGCAGGGCAGGCAGGGTGGGGGGACAGGGAGGCTCCCGCTGCAGCCTCTGGCCAGACCCGGCCGCCCACCCTAGCTCTCCTCCAGGTGGAGGCTGATGAACTCCTGGATGCACCTGCGGTACTGGAGCTCCGTGGGGCTGGTCCCCAGCAGGGCGCCCGGCTGGCCAGGGGGCGCCTCGGCCTCTCGCATCTCCTCAGCCATGCGTGCCAGACGCAGCCTGTGGGAGATGCAAGATGAGGCACGCCCCTTCCCCCACCTTGGTGGCCCCCCTACCCCTCACTGTGGACCCCAGGCTCTCTCCCCACCCCGCGGCCCCGCCCACGCTCACAAAGTGACGATGTCTGCGTTTGCCTCCTGGACCGCGATGCTCAGCGGGTCCTGCTGCTCATGGTCCAAGGCATGCTGGTCAGCCCCTCGCTTCAAGAACAGGCACACCTGACTGCAGTATGGAGAGGACGAGTCACAGACAGCCCGGGGTGGGCTAAGGCAACCTTGGGCCCCCGCAGGTGGGAGGTGTGCCAGAGACTCACCCTGTGCGTCCCAGGAGCGTGGCGTGGTGCAGGGGCGCCCGGCCCCGGCTGTCTTTTTGGTTCACATCTGCTCCATTTTGCAGAAGGAATTCACAGACAATCAGGGAGCCCTGGGGAGCCGAGGACAGTTCAGGCTCAGTTGAGGAAACGGACCTTGGCTGGTCTCCAGGAGGGTACAGGGTATCCTGGTGTTGGCGCCATAAGGAAGCCAGTGCCAAAGACGCACCTGTGCCCTCCCCGCATCTGCTCACCCCTAGCACAGCCTGCACCAACGGCGTCTTGCCCTCGTCCTCTGTGTCAGCCCAGTTGACCTCCGCCCCGTGAGCCAGCGCGGCGGCCAGCGCAGGGAGGTCTCGGGTGCGCGCCGCTCGGTGTGCCAGGAGCCCAGGGTGTAGCTCACGCACGTCTGCCAGGCCCCAGGCCTCAGCCTCTCCGTCTGCCTCACCACTGGACTCCTCAGACTCTGCACCCTCTAAAGGGAGGAGTAAAGTCAGGGGCTGTGACATGGCCTGAAGGAGGGCCAGGGGAGGGCGCAGGCTGGGCTGCAGTGAGGCAGGTAGGGTGCACCCACCCTCCTCTGTGACACTGTCCACCACGGAGCCTGTGCTGAAGGCCAGAACGTCCGAGCTGCCATCAGAGCTGCCCCCTAAGCCACTGTCGCTGCTCAGACCTGTGGGGTCCAGGGACAGATGGAGGTCCTTAGAGTACCTGACTCCTCCCAGAGCCCTGCAGGAAGGCTAGAACGCCCATCCATCCCTGGGGAATGCCCTAGAGGAGGGGAGCTCTGCCTAGGATGGCGGGAAGGGGAGAAAACCAAGTGACAGCTCAAAGGAGCCCAAGTAGCGCACCCAAGAGCACAGCTCCAGAGGAAGCCTACCCTCAGGCAGGTCAGCCCTAGCAGGATAGAGGGACTGAAGCATAACTGTGCAGTCAGGCGTTCAGGCCTGTTCGTGGCGAGTGCATGCTGGGAGATCACCGTGCAGCGTGAGGTCTTCACCAAGTGCAGGGCACACCCCCATCCCTCCCCAATACTGAGCGAAATCCCAGATGGCTTACCCAAGGGCAGCCCCAGACTTAGGAATGATGGTGAGGCAGCGCCCTCTGCTGCCAGAGGACACCCCCTCATCACCCCACCCCCGCCCTCTGAGTTCCTGGTCTGGTCCATGCCTTCTGCCTACATTACCCAAAAAGCTCTACATGGGCAATGGGTAACCACTGGGTGCCAAGAAATCATTAACAGGAAGCCCTGCTTGTAGCATTGGGCCCCCAACTCCAAGGATTGTCTCTCAGGCTGGCTCCAGCACACAGCTGCCCAGGCCACAAGTGTGCATGCACACAAGTATGCACAAGCCGTGTACACCCAGGCACATCACATACACATACTGCAGTGTGCATACCACACACGCAATTCACATACATCACTCTTGAGGATCATGGCCTTAGCCTCTGATCCAATGGCCAAGTAAGCCCAGACCCTTGAGAGGCTATCTCAGCCTTAGCTCTCCTTGGCCCCCAGATTCTCCCCAGCCCTGTCCTCCCTGCAAGGAACACCAGTCCCTCCAGTCTCCAAGCAAGGGGCTTTGGCTGGCCACACTCAGCCACCTTACAGGTGAGCCATGCCTGGCCCCTGCACTGTTGCCCTGACTGGGGCCAAAGGCAGTGGGCAGCAGGGTACTAGAGTCCTCACAGCACTTACTACGTGGACCAGCTGCAGCAGCTCCTGCGTCAAAGTAGGAGAAGAGGGAGTCCAGCTCATCTGGGCAGAAGAGAGAGTCCCTCCGGAACTTGCGTTCCCCAGCACCTGCTGCAGGGAGGTGGGGAAATTGAGGCCTAATCATGCTGGGAGTCTCTGTGTCCCTCCTCCTGCCCTACCCTGATCTTTCTAGGGCCTGAGGCTTGGCAGTTGCAGCCCACCTCCCACCCTTGCACAGGTATGTGAGCTGAGGGCACAGCCCCCTGGCACCTGAAGACAGAGCAGCCACGGAGGGCAGGACAGGCTCCAGTCGGACCTTGCGGCGGGCAGCGGGGGCTCGGGGGGAGCTGTGGTGGCGCTGGCACTTCTGCACCTGCCAGTGCCGAGAGGCCTCACGGGCTGGTGCTGAGGGCGGCTTCCGCAGGAACTTCTTTTCCACATACTTGTCCTTGATCCAGGCCTCTTTGTCTTGCCTGGACCAGGAGTGGACATGAGGTGGCACTCACGGGCGGGGGCTCCCCTGGCCTGGTCTAGGCTACCACTCCCCACCTCACCTGGGACTGCTGGCTGTAGGCTTCCTGCTACCTGGTCCCTCACACTGAGCCTCGTAGATCTGGTTCATGGTGCTGTTTCCAAGCTCACACATCAGCTAGCAGGACACAGAGTGTGCCAACATCAGCTCCAGCTCCGGGGCGCCCCACATCCCCCAAGCTGGCAGACCTGGCTCCTGCTAGTGTGGCAGCTTGTGATGGCCTCATACATACCTTCAGCAGCTCCGGCTCCCATGAGTCCAGAGTCAGGGACCGCACT